ATCAGCAAAAATGGGAAACCTTCCCTTCTATTTTAGTCTTCTAACCCAACTATCTCCAGATCAAAAAAGAAAACAACCTCTTCAAATCTTTCAGTCTCTCATTTTTCCAATTGTATGCACTTCTGTTGTCCTTTTTTATCATTATATCCATCAAGCTTTTTAGCTCTTCTAAAAATTCTATTTGTAATTTTTGTTCCCTTTTTGTTATTCATTATTAATATTCATGCCCATTAAGACTTTCCACATCATGCTTTCTAGTGGCTGTATTTCTCAACCCCCCTTATTCTTGCTTGTATGGCTATCGATTCTCAATTTTGTATGTTTTAATTGTTCATACTCGTTTAGCAGTCTCTCCATGTTTTCTAAACTATTTTTTCCATTATATATTCTCTTGTGGCTATTCTATTCTTCATCTCTTGCCCCTCTAGTGGCTCATGTTCTTCGAATTCTTTTAAATGGGATCTATCTATTTTTAAGACCCCTGAATTTTCTATTGATCTTCACTAGGACAATTGTATCTATCATGTACTAATCGAGTTCCTCTTACTTACTCATCGTTTAATGTCTTGCAAGACTTCACTTCCTTTTATTCTAATTCTATCCCTTTAGAGCTTAGTGTCTTACCCATAAATGTTTTTCTTCCTGCAATATTAAATCCTGATCTGTTTGTTCTTCTCAAGATTTCTCTTGGTTTCATCAACTAATCTTCATTTTTTAATTGTATATTCTTCCCTCAATATGTTTGTTTTATTCATGTTGTCTCTCATTTATCTAATATCTAGGTGATTTTCCACCTTCTCTTATATTGAGTGCCAAAATGAGTTTAATCTCACAGTTTCATTCTTGATTTCAAATGCATCTCTAGCGTTTTCTTATACTTTAGGCCATTCAACCCTTCCTTCCTCCAAGCTTTCAATTTCTTTTGTAAGTTGTCACCTTGATTCTTGAAAGCATATTCTAATGTCTTTAGTGGTTTCCCGTTCTAATTGATGGTTCTTGCATTTTACAACTTTCTAATTTCCATTCTTAATCCTTTCCCATGTTCTATTTATAATTCTTGATGCTTTCTACTTGACTCTTGAGTTCTCCAAGAGTAAATTCTCTTCTTCAACAATCTCAACTGCATACGCATTCTGGAATTCTGAATGTTTTGAGTTTTAACACTTTCATCTTTCTTCTTCTATGTGATCATGACATTGATTTGAAAAGTACTGGACTCTTCTAGTCTTCTCTCAAAAGAGCATGCCATGCCCTCATCTATTATAATGAAATCTTTTTTTTCAGTTTGGCGCTTTCAGCCTCTTACTTGATTCTACTTTTTCTCACATTGAAAAATTACTTCAACCTAGATTTCTTTATCACACTTCTCAACTCATTCATTAATTAGCACTTTCCACCTTGATTTCTCTTGGTAGTTCACAGCTTCTTATGCCCTTTCAAAGTTCACTTTTCTTTTCTGTTCCCTATGGCTATGATTACTCCTGGGGCTAACTTGGCTTCCATCAGCAATGTAATAGCATCCTCTTCCCATACATCCTACAGTCTCTAGAAAGTCGTCTTCTACATTCATATATTTTGTTTGCTCTAAAAAGAATTACCTTTAACCTTGATTTATTGCTCGTCTCTAGGAATTCGAAGATTTTTATATATGATTCCTTTTCACCCTTACAAAAGGGTAGTAATGAGTCAATTCTGACCATGACCAAAGAGCAATTTCCAAGAGCTTGCTTATCAATTTCTTCCTTGTTTCATCAATAACTAAAATCCCAATAAGCCTTAAGCAAGCCTTCTTGACATATGATCAAAATTAAAGATAACAAGCCACGCAACTACATCACCAAGTTGTGACAAAACTCTCCATAATGGATAAATTAGATTGAATAGTCATTACAGTGATCTATAATAAAATAAAAATCACAAATTTTGCTTCACTTTCGAAGGATCCTCCAAAATTCCTAGTTCAATTATCCACCAAGGTACAATAGTACTTTTATTTTTCACTTTTGAAAAGAATTCTCGCAAGAGCTTAGTTGAAGTATTTTCCAAGGTACAACCGCTATGAATGTAGACAAGATCACAACCTCTAACAATGATGACACCAGAGAAAAGTCTCATACTATGTCTACAAGATCTGTTAGAACTCCATTATATTTTATAGTGGTTGAAGTCATCTAGAAGACCTTCTATCCCATCATACTCATTCAACTGCAACAACTTGAATCTGGAGGAAATGAGCTCCTTCATTATGTCTATGGAGAGAGGGGACTCACTAATATAGCATAAGCAATTACCACAAGGTGTTCTCTACTTCCTTGAAACACATGACGTTTCCTTTAATGCGGCCATATCTATGTCCTACCTCTTCCCCATTATTTTTCTTGGTATTTTCAAGATATCTTCAAATGTTACTCCTAAGACCTTTTTTCTTATATCAACAGATAGTCCAGCTTCATGGATAATTGGCCTCTATCGATGCTCTTGAATTCACTATCCTCATGGACATAGAAATCATTTATTTTTTCTATTCAAATTGTTTTGCATTGATTGATTAGGGATTAGCTAGCTTCTTGATTTTCAGTAATTTGGCACTCTTTCCAAAGTCATTACCTCAACCACCATAGCTTAGGTCACTATGTTAGTTGTCAGGTTACCAAAGATCTTCTCTTTTTGGGTGTATTACCATTAGCCAAATCATCACCAGGCTAATCTTCCTCATGCATAATTATTATCTATTTTGAGCACTAAACCATTGTTTTTTCCATAAAAGATACCATCACGAAAGTAGTCCTTGCAAAACGAGGGTAAGTTAGTCATGCCATTACAGCAGGAGGACCTTTAATCGCAATTGAGAAGTTTTGAAGAATGAAAATCAAATATGATGTTACAAGGTAAACATGATTCCCTTTACACACCCCCAATAAACAATCCAACTTCCTACGCAAATCATACGGCTGTGTTTGGAACAAAAGATGCAATTAACATTATTTTACTTCTATTCTATAGTTTACAATGATTTTAGAAGACAAAACAAAACAAAACAAAAAACTTTATTGTCCACCACAGGCCAAATAATTTAAACTCTTCAAGTTCGTTCTAATTTTTAATATTTTGTATCACTAAACGTTCAATAACATAACGCAGACAACAAACAGGCTCAAAAAAAAGGATGTAACTATAATATAGAAAAGAGAGGATACACTGCCAAACCAGCTGCAGCTAAAAAGTCAAGAAAACTAAATATGTGTTAACTATAATATAGAAAAGAGAGGATACACTGCCAAACCAGCTGCAGCTAAAAAGTCAAGAAAACTAAATATATGTTTACCGATAGATCCAACAGAGAAAGGCTGCTCTGCCAGATAACAAGGCCTTCTCTGAGATCACTTTCTTCCTGGCACTCTCAACAGAACCGCAGCCATAAATGAAAATCCTGCTAATTTTAAATGAATTAATGCAACTTGCAAATGAATGTCATATTTTCTTTAGTTCATTTATTCCAAACATAGTATAAATAAACAAGGCCATGACATAAAAGAGGGACCTCAATGTATGTATGAAAGATAAGACTTAATCATTAATGATCATAATTGTTTGCCCGATTATCACACTCTTACATTTCATTCTCACAGAACACAAGATAACTAGGCTTCCCATCATTCAACACTTACCTTATTCTTCTTTTCATGACTAACATCCATCACAAAGAATGAAACAATAAAATATTCAACCAAAAAATGGCAGACAAGAATAATTTGATTGTTAAGGAGTAGAAAAGTATGTGGAAAGGATCTGACCGTCTCCCTCAAGTTATTTCACAGCAATCAAACAATTCATCAGAAGGAAGAGAGCCCTGCAATTTTTCGAAACTTCTCATAAGAGACCCAGAACACAAATTGCCAGGGTCCAAGCCTTGCCCACGTAGGAAAGAAACCTTTCCACAAAGCCCTTAACCCTTCATTTCTAACGGTCATCACCAGACAATCATAAGAGCTCTTATACACAACTTTATCGTCCTTGGTGGCTGCCTGATACATCATTCTTGTCTTCACAACATCAGCAGGACAACTTAAAGCAGTTGCAGATAGACCCGACATAATAGATGCGAAGGTGTGGGCATATATGTTATCATTTGCTATCTGGTTTTGAATGACAAAACGTTTTGCATGGTCATAACAAGCTAATTCTCCCATATTCACTAAAAAAGCTCTTTGGACATTTGGGAGAACGCCTTTCCAAAGCCCTGCAAAGCCTTCTGTTCTCACAATCTTGTTCAAAGCATCAAATAGCCCTGAGTATCTAGGTTGGTGACCTTGGCTCATCATCTGTCCATCTGCCTGCATTCTCACTTTAACAAGATCGGCAGGACTTACCACTACCTGTGCTACTAACATAACCATTAAGAAAAAACTTTTACTCTTCAAGCACATGTTAAGTGCAAAGAAATCGAATTAAGATTTAGAGTTGACAACCTTTTCCACTTATATAAGATGAAAAAGATATCTTAAGGACAAACAGGCACACGTATTTTCCAAGTCATTACCTTAGAAGCCATTGACTTCTTGCACATGCGTAGTAAATAATTCTCCAGATCAACGAGAAAATGAAAACAAAAGGCATAAAAACTAAGTTCTCCAAATAAAAGGGAGAGTTAAAAGAAGGCTCCACATGTTCAGATTCTTCTTCATACCTCTTCCATGGAAATTAATGTAAACATTACCTCTCTTTTTTTCGCATTTGATTTCAACAGAACTTAAGTAGCGTTCATCAATAATGTAAGATATCAATTGAATACAAAAATGTTAGAAGAGAGGGTTAGTTACCTGGGCCATCTTTTAATGAAAAGATAAAAATTATCAGAGAGGAAAATAAAGGTACAATAGCAGAGGACTAGTTACCTGGGCAATGACACCGGAAATCCCACTAAGGAGAGCTTTAAAAGAGAGAGGAATAGAGGCAACGTCATCATCAGCGTTAACGACCAAGTTCCTCAAGTTCTCGTAACCCACGATCCTGATAGGGGTGTAGAAGAGGTGCCTGGTAATCGCAGGAGACAATCCCTTGTACAACCCCAAGACACCCTCTTGCCGCACGATTGTCGAGACAACGCCAAGTGCATTGGTCGGCCGAGCAGCCGTGGCGGAGGAAGAAGAACCCGAGCCGAGAAGCTGTAGCCTCGTCTTCGTCAGGTCTATGGGAAATGTTGCCGTCTCCGCCACCATCGCCGAGAGTGAAGTCAGCAGGATTCTCCAGCGATTCCGGGTTTCTGGGAGAGTCGGATCATCTAATTGGACTCTTTGGGTCGCCTTCATCTTAATAGAGAGAAAGTGTACCCCAAGCCAACGAGCCGATACGCGCAAGAGAGAAGACAGAACAGGATCTTTGTTGATGTTTTTTGAAAACAAAAAACAAAAAAATAGTTATGTGTGACGACATTTTTTTCCCCTTAGGAAGGAAGAACGAAAACACATCTATGTAATGTGTCCAATTGAGTTGGTCAGCATTTGTATTCGTTTTCTGAAGATTATGAGAAATTCAGATATTCTAATTATACAAAAAAAGCTCCCTAAGCTCATAATCAACATTTGTGGCCGATGTGAAAAGTTTATCCATTTATTGCAAATGTTTGACAGTGAAGAGTGAGTTTATCTTAAGGACTTGTTTAAATGATTTTTATTATAATTTATTAATATACGGTATTATATTATAAGTGCAGAATATGGTAATATTAAAATTATATTATATTTGAGAAGATTGTGTATAGTATGGTAATTGTGGCTATTTTTATTTGAATTAATAGAATAGAATAATTGTATATTTAAACAAATTATATATTTTTCTCATTTTTTATTATATGTAATATAAAATAAAAAAATAAAAAGATAAAAGATAAACATATATATATAATTAAACAAATATATATTTAATTATATATATACATGTATATATGTAATTAAATATTATATATATGTATATGTAATTAAATATACAAATATATGTATGTATATAATTAAATATATAATAAATTTGTATATATAATTATATGTGATAGCTTGAAAATAACTTTGAGTTAATTTCTTATGTTTGATATATTTAACTTAACATTTATATATGTTTGAAAATATATAATAAGGTTTAGAACATAGAATCAAACAGAAAAATGATGTATAAGGATAAATAAGTGAGAATAAGCATGAAGATACATAGAAAAAAGGTGGGAACCTTTGAAATGAAGTGGTATAATAAAAAGTAATAACTATTAGATAAAATAATATAATAAAAATTAACAACTTTTAGATGAAGTGACATGTGAAAAGTGATAACTTTTAGATGAAGTGATATGTGAAAAATGGTAACATTTTAGATGAAGTATATGATGAAATGTGACAACTTTTAGATGAAATGACATAATAGAATGATAGCAATCTTTCTCTTGTGGCTCCCCACTCTTATAAACAGGGGATAGGATAAGGGAGGAAGAGACATTCCATATGAGAGAAAAATAGTGAGAAGTATAGAGGTAAAGGAAAAAAAAAAATGGAGTACAAAGTGTGTAATTTTTTAGAGTATTTTGAGGTTTTAGATCAAAAATATTGAGAAAACTCTATTAAATTTGTGAGAGTAGATGAAGATGAAGAGAAGAAAAAGAAGGCAGACAGTCAAAAGGAAGTTATAAACCATTAGAAAAGTAAGTTTTTCCTTAAGTTTTGAAGTTCGGTTTCTCTTTAATTTTTGGGATTAGTTTTTGAGTCTTGTGTTGGATATTTTTGAATCAAGAAAGTGACAAAAAATTATCTCGAAACTCTGCTGAATCTTTAAAATGAAAATATCATAAATAAAGTCAGAACTCTGCCAAAATTGAAATTACGACTGTTAAAGAACTAAAATAAGTGGACATTATGGATTCATACCTTACATAGTTTTGAAGTATTTTATGTATTTTCAATATAAAAATATACAAGTTTAATTTGTCTTTCGTACTTGTTAAGTAAGTATTTGTTAAAGTTTTAGTTTAATATAAGTGTTATTTCACTTTGTATTTTCAAAATATAATTTTGATATGTGTGCATCACTCATTATGAAAATGAGTTGTTCCAAAACCACCTACATTATGTTAAGTTTTAATGTGGTCGTACATAACCATTTCCGTATTCGAGTGTATTAGCGAAGTGATAAGTGTGTACTCGTACATAACTATTATGTGTTCTATATATGCTCATTACTTTTATTTCCAGATGTGTTGAAACAGGAATCTGAACCTAAATGCCTAGCAATAGAGCACAATACTTAAGGGATGCACGATTATTAATAGAGAATACTTCTCTTGAGATACATTTTTGTATACACCCGTGTTACGATTGTAGTTGGGATTTCATTTGTAATGTTAGGTTTATTATATTGACCTTAAGTTTTCTGTGAATTCAATGTAAAAATATTTCATACATTTTTTTTGTTGTTATAGAAATTAAGTTGGATTCGTTTTATGATGTGTGTTTATATGCAGATAGGTTGATAGGTTATCATAACGCTACCGTATTTGGGATGAGGAGTTATAGTTAGTATCAGAGCATAATTCTAGGGTCGAGTGTTATGTAATAGATTGTACAATCATTTACAATCCGAGAAAAAGAAAACTGACTTGGGCTGTTGAAATGTAGGTAAACAAAGGAGGCAATGAAGAAAGGTAGAGGTCGACCCCAACAGGGATCGACACTAACCCTTCAAGAAACACTGGCGGCACCCTATAGGGCACCTTCCTTCCAGCAAGTACCATTCTCTGCCTTTCAAGGACTGCCCCCTTACTCACCAGTACCACCCACTACCTATCAAAGGCCTCCTTCTACTTCCTAGACACCGCCTATGGAGCATACCGCTGCCCATCAAGATGATTTCAACCGATTGTGCAAAGTAGCTGAGAGTCTGGTCAAGATGATTAAGGAAAGGGAGTTACAGCCAGAATCATCCTTTCATTTACATCAGAGTGCTGGTTAAGGTGGAGTGGATATGAGCAACATTGAGAAATACCAAAGACTCACCCCCCAGCATTCAATTGAGGTTCTGACCCACTAGTGGCAGAGGATTGGATCAAAGAAATTGAGAAACTATTTGATATGATAGAAGTGACTGTCGAGCAAAAATACAACTAGCCACTTTTATGTTAAGAATGTCTACAAAACGTTAATGGAATCTGAAGAAAAGAGTCCTAGTTCCCCTAGTAACTTGATAAGTATTCCTAGAAGCCTTTAATGCTGGATATTTTTTCTATTTTCTCAGGTAAAGGAAAGAGACTGAATTTTCAGAACTGTGTCAAGGGAAGTTATCAGTGGCAGAATATGCAGAGAGGTACATAGCTTTGAGATGTTTTACTCCAAAGGTCATGATGAATGAACTGAAGAAGGCTAGGCCAGGAGGTTTGAGAATGGACTGAGACCGGAATTGTACCACTAGATAGTTGTGTTCACCTTACCTACCTATCAGGCAATATTAGAAAATACATAGTTGATAGAAACTCTGTATAGAGAACATACTGAGTACAGTAAAGGACCCCCCAACTATAAGCCGTTACCACCATCCTCTGATCTGATGGAGAAGAAACAAAGGATAGTTCAAGATTTGAGTCGGGATCATTAGATACTTTTAAAAAATATAGATTGTATGCGTTGTCGTAGGAGTCATGAGCGGCCATGTACAACTATCAATTGAAGATGTTACAGATGTGGTAGTACCCAGGATTTGGTACGTGACTATCCCATATCTAGGGAGCACAATAGACTGATGGTTCTAAGTAAAGTGTTTGCGCTGACAATAGAGTATGTAGATGCCACCCTATAAGTTATTCAAGGTACATTTTATATTTTAAATTTTTCTACTAAGGTTCTAATTAATCGAAGGGTGACACATTCGTTCACCTCGCATAGGTTTGCATCAAAGTTGAAGGTAGAGCTGGTAATGTTAAAGTGTATACTCATGGTATCCACACCAAATAGTGGCACCCTATATACTGATATAATTTATAGACCATACAATATGGAAATAGCTTAGAGGAAATTAGAAGTGAATTCGATTTTATTATATATTAGCAACTTGATGTAATATTAGGTATAGATTGGCTAGCTGCACATCATACACATATAGATTATTTTCGTAAGGAGGTTATGTTTAAAATTCCTAACGAGGAACTTTTTTCCATATAAAAAAATGTAAAGTGTTAATAAAATACAATAAAACAACATTAATTGGGCAAGATAATTGGTGAGTGTATCTTTATTTTATCTATATTCTGTACTCATGACTTTTATAAATGCAATATTGATATCCTTGAGTATATAGATTACAAGGTAAAATTCTCATAAGTGTATTTGATAGGGAACGGGAGCAAAAAAACCATGTTTCAGGAGATACCGATGGTCCAGAACTTTCCTGATGTATTTTCATATAGCCTCCCGAGGCCACCACCAGACAAAGAGGTTGAATTCACTATAGAGCTACAACCAGGAACTCAACCCATTTCAAGAACCCGTACAAGATGGCAAGATCAAAATTTTTGGGATTGACTAAACAACTACAGGAATTATTAGACAATAAGTTTATAAGGCTAAGTGTGTCTCCATAAGGTGCGTTTGTGTTATTTGTAAAGAAGAAAAATGGGACCATGCGAATGTGTATAGACTACAGAGCTTTAAATCATATAACAATAATAAATAAGTATCCACTTCTAATGATAGATGACCTCTTTGATTAGCTATAGGGAACTCAAGTATTTTTAAAAATAGATCTATGTTCTGGATTTCATCAGTTGAAAATTAGGGCAAAGGATATAGCGAATATGGTTTTTGCACTAGGTATGTGCATTATGAATTCCTTATTATGACTTTTGGACTAACCAATGCATATGCAGTATTCGTGGACTTGATGAATCGAGTGTTTAAACCTTTTTTGGATCATTATGTGATTGTTTTCATAGACGACATAATGATATACTCCAAAAATTCAGAAAAACATTCTGAACATCTGACGGGTGTATTAAAAATACTATAAAAGGCCAAGTTGTATGCCAAGCTTAGTAAATGTGAGTTCTGACTCGATCATATATCGTTTTTGGGACACATTGTGTCGAGAGATGGAATATTAGTGGATCCGATAAAGGTGGAGCTAGTGATAAAATGGGATAAGCTGAGCACTGTGTTTTTTGGGATTAGTATGGTATTATCGCCAGTTTGTCAAGGGGTTCTTGAGTATTACAGCTCCACTTATGAGGTTGACTAAGAAGAATATAAAATTTGAGTAGAATGACGATTGTGAGAATAATTTTAATGAGCTCAAATAGAAACTCACTACGACTCTAGTATTGGTTATTCCCTCTAACGGTGGGGGGGTTATGCAGTGTACAGTGATGCATCTTGTTTAAGGTTGGGGTGTGTATTACTACAACATGAAAAAGTAATTGCTTATGGTTCCAAGCAATTGAAGATACATGAAAGAAATTACCTAAGACATGATTTGAAATTGGTTACAG